TAACTATTTCAATAGAAAATGCAAAGCATGTTGATCTTGTTTTATTGATGTGTCCCGTTGCAAGATCTGACCTTATGTAGAAATGTTTCTTTCCTATTTGACGAAATTTCACTTTTGATGAGGTTTTGTTCTCTGAGCTGGATGGTTTGGTCGTGGAGCTTTCATCGTTCTTCTGAACGACATCATCAGCACAAACTGCACGGAATTGAAATTGTTGATGGCGATTAAATTGTCATGAAGAAATGGATTAGCTTACTTAAAATAAGTCATTGTGTCATTGAACAAAAATCGAGAGAATTCAGCGAATAGAAGTTTCTTTTCGATAAAAATTATCTACTTCAGATGTACACTCGTATTTATAGTTGTTTCGTAAATATTTAAGTCAATCGAAAAGCAGAAAAGACTGCATCATAAGGGAATTCAATATTTGAAAAATATAAAAATGGATTGCGAGATAATCAGTGGGTTAGAGGAGAATAGAAAAATGAACGTGACCTGGCGTGGCTTTTAAAAGAAGAATGTAAAGCAATCACTGGTTCGATACAAGAACACCTGATCAGTTCTGAACACATTTCTCCAAAAGTCTTCTTCAAAAGAATTTACACAATCAAAGGAACTGAATCGAAAGGTCATTTTTCTTAATACCTGTCACGTGAACCATTATCTCATGTAACTTTGACCCATAAATTATCTTCATCCTTCTGTTCTTCTCTAACCCCCTGATTATTACGCAATCCATTTTTATATTTTTCAAATATTGAATTCCCTTATGGTGCAATCTTTTCTGCTTTTCGATTGACTTAAATATTTACGAAACAACTATAAATACGAGTGTACATCTGAAGTAGATAATTTTTATCGAAAAGAAACTTCCATTCTCTGAATTCTCTTGATTTTTAGTCAAATCGATGAATACTTGAGAAAAACTAGGCCGAATCTAACTGTAATGTAAATGTATAGTTATTTTGTGATTTACATGTGAACTTGCACTTTCTTGCGGAGTATATGATTACATATGATAGAACGTTTTCATTGGTACACTCACGGGCAATATTAGTACTAGTATAAGCATAACAGTGTTAGTAATAGAAGTAGTAGTAGTAGTACTGTGGTGTCTGCTACTGGTGTCGACAGATAAAGATAGTATTTACCACCAATCGAAATTAAAATGCCTAGCGTCAGAAGGTTGAGAAATTGAAGAGAAGAGAATGAGAACAGAGAATAATTGGTATGGAAGCGAAGGAACAATGAAGTCTGAGACAATTGATGGATATTTTGCAAATGAAGTATTTACTGTATGGTTCTCAGATTTTACCAAAAGATCCTGTAGTATTTGCATTTAAATACACTCAGTTGTCCTCACAGGTGTTCTCGTTTATAACATGATAAGTAGTAGTGATAGTAGTAGTCGTGGTCAGTGAAGTGATGGATCTTAAAGTGTTTTAACTAGCCTTTAAGTTCACGTTTTTGAAACAATATATGAAATTGTATGTCTGAAATTTAAGTTGGACATCACATATTTATTTGGGCTCTTTTCTGAAAAAAATAAATTGTATACTGCAAAACCAGAAATAAGCAAAATTCATATTCTTAGGACCTCATTTACCTGATACTCAATGTATACAGAATCTTCGATAATAATGAAACTAAGTGTTAATCAGTTCTTACTCTTTATTAAATTACTGTACTTTTGGATCAACTGAAATACTTGTTCAGTTGTACTGAATAAATGCTGTGATCTCTGTTAGGTTTGTGTTACTGAGTAAAATTTTTCATTATGATGCCTATCACTACAAGTGGTAAATTAATTTTTTATAGTTTGAATACCTGTATGAAATGAAAATTGTACGGGAAATTCCAAAATATCATATAACTGTGAGATTATCAAAGTTAAAATCAAAGCTTCATGAAAACTGAATTTAAGCATGTTATTCTGTATATATTTGACAATTATGTATTGTTTAAATCTCTATTCAATCTTACCAAAACTATATGAAGATAGAGAAAGAAACAAGTAAACAACGATAGAGATTTTATTAAAATGTCGTTGGTAGAAACCAACTGATTCAACATTCATGAACAATTGTTTCATACATAGCAAACAGTGGATTTTATTCATAATGCCTGAGGGTTAACATGTGTTAATCAAGTGTTTTTAATACACGATATTTAGGATTTGAAGTAGAAGTGAAAAATATTGATTTTTAGCTTAATTTTATAATGAAATATGACTATCTGTTAAGAAATTGAAGAATTAGTACAGGTTAACATTCTTCTTAGGTGTTACGATTAAAACATTTAGTTTTGGCTTTTATCAACTATGTTTGAGAAATATTTTACTGTTAAGTATCAGAGGTAGAACTGATTTATTCTTATTCTTCATTGTGAACTAGTAACCAATCTGGAAAAAAGGTTCAATAATTAAAATATCTATTTTTGTTTTTTAAAAGTTTTACACGAAATTAAACTGACTAACACTTAGTTAAAGCATATTTGTAAATACAATTAATTTTCCTAATTCATATACCCATAGCATATACTTGATTGAAAAATGGTGTATCCTTATTAATTAATTGTGGGTACAGAAATCGTACAGTTATTCAGATGTAATAATCGAAAAAACTGTTCTTTCTGGTAAGTGTGAAATGATGTGTAATCAGTGAATGCTTTCATTTACTGATGATGTTCGTGATTGCAATCATTCGAGTGTCATTTTGTATCATTCGTCGATATATCTAACCGCGTTAAATCCAGTGTTGTATTAGTATTCTCTCAATTAGTGTTAGTTTTGGACCCTAACATATATGGGTTATTTAATTCATTGGTATTCAGAGAAGGGTTATTGTGGATATTATAGTAATTTTAATAGTTAAATTCATGAGTCAATTAAAGCTAGACCACCCTGGAAAACCTGGAAGCACTGGACGGCCGTTTCGTTTTATTGTGGGACTCCTCGGCAGTTAAAATTACTATAAAATCCACAAAAACCCTTCTTTAAATATAATCATTATATACGGTCTCCAAGAGGTATTTCGTGGAGTCCTAGTAAGAATTCGTGACCAGTGGAGTTCAACCAGGTTAGTTGTGACATAGTAATCCACTGAAGAAAATGGTGTATGTGTCGCTCAATTTCGTTGATTAGTTGAAATTAGACATTTACACCGTTAGATGCCGGCTGGCTCAGTGGTCTAGTGGTTAAGCGGTCGCGCGCGAGACCGATAAGTCCTGGGTTCGAGTCTCGCGGTGGGCGGGATTTCGGATGCACACTGCTGAGGAGTCCCATACTAGAGCAAAGCGATCATCCAGTGCTTCCAGGTTTTCCATGGTGGTCTAGCTTCAATTGACTCATGAATTTAACTATCAAATAATACTGAAATCTGTCATTTTGAAGGTTTTAATGAATGTTATTTTTATAGTGATCAGAAACCGCTCAAATTTTCAAGATCATTAAATAATTATCCTTTTTCAGTTTGAGATTCCTTAACAGTATATAACTTTTTTTGTATCAGATATCATTTGAGTTTAATAAGTTCATGATAACTGGATGAAATTTTTCTCAACTAATTTATTGTAAAATTGTTAGTTTATATCTGTGATAGAAACTTAAATTTTTGGTAAATTCACATTCATTTAATTATTTATACGTTTTATTCAATCTATCGTCCATTCCATTATCATTTTACTCTTCTTGTAAAGTCATTATTTATTCTTTTTTTCCTTTTTTAAAACAAAAAAAAAGCAATGTAAATCTTTCAACCTCTTTTTTGACAGTTGTCATTAAATCCATATCAACAACTTTCCGACTCTTGATATTCTGCCTTACACTTCTTTACTTAACAACTATTTATAATGATTATTTTCATTATAATTCTATCATTTCTTCTATTATTCACAGTTATTAATCTAGTTTATCCATAGTAATCTAATCATTCAATGTGATCAATATATTTTACAAATTCAATTTTAAATATATAAGAAATTTAAATTTAAATTCTATTTTAATTGTATATTCATATCCTTCTATTCAAAACAAAATTGTCGTTTTTTTAATTTTTATTACATAATCCAAAAGTTAGGGTAAAAAATGACGAAAATGAATTAGAATTAAGAATGAATAAGTTTGATAAATTGATGCTTCTTATTTACCTAAGTGTTATTCTCTTTTTTTTTCTTTTTAATAAAGTTTTGAGCTTTACTAAAAGTTTCAATATAAGGAGTTATTATAGTTGAATGATGTGTAAAGTTAAATACATTTGGAAATGGCTTTCATAGATGATGAATATCTGTGGAAGATTCATCGAAAACTAGTCATCAGATAATCATTTCTGATGATATTAACTCATTGTTGAATTATATTGGTAATTGTATGATGTAAAAAATATGAGTAGTTTGGTACTGATCAACAGAACCTAAATAAATTTATGATATTATTGAAACTTTATGGGAGTGTGATTTTGATGTTGTGTGAAGATACAAGTGTGAGCTATCGTAAAATCGTAAACTCAGAGTGAATGGATAACCAACACTTCTTGGTTCTCATTAGTAATCCAACTGTTGTAAATCCATGATTACAGTTATCTATAAAACTTATTGTAATTCAGTACTAATGTTCGTTCAACTTTGATCTTATATCTGTAATGACAGATAAAAGTATATCTTATAAAGTCCTGTTTGTTTGATTATAAACGGTGATATGTTCTTAAGATTTATCATCAAAATATTCCTCCATTTATTTATTTTTGGTGATTTCTTGAAAATCTTGTTCAGTATGAAGGAAATCATTTAACCTCAAACTACTATTAGTTAGAGAATAACTGAAAACTATAGAGTATTATACATTTGTATACATTTTGTATTGTATCGAGAATATCCCAGCTGGTACGTAACAGCTATAACATTATTCTAAGTTGTAAATTATTTCTTAGTTAATATTATGCATTGATGAATATTAACATCAAATTAATTGAATTGGTAAAATATAATTATGACTGTTATCTTACCTTTCCATTATCTCCAATATCCTCATCTACAGCATGAATTTGACCAACTTCTGTATCAGGTGGACTATTTTCTGGTATAGAGAAAAAGTATAAATCTGTAAAATGTGGTGTGTGGTCATTTTCATCTAAAATTTGAATTTTGATTTCAGCTGAAGCTGTATGTGCATTCACACCTGAATCAGATACATAAACGGTGAATGTACGTTCAGGCTCCAATTCTCTGTCAAATACAGTATTAACTCGAATTTCACCAGTATTAGACTGTATGCTAATCCAATTCACATCAGCTTCATCAATCCAAAAGCGTAACCGCGCATTTTCACCTATGTCGGCGTCTGTAACATTTAATCGACCAATAACTCTTCCAGGTGATGCATTTTCTGGACACGTTAATACAAGTTTGTCGGATGCTATAACTGGTGGGTTGTCATTCTCATCCATTACTTCAATGTCTAGTCGATATGTAAACACTAGTGGTTTTACTGTATCATGATCTCGACAAGTTAGTAGAACTTGATGTCGAGCAGTAGTCTCTCTGTCTAAGCGTTGTGCAGAAATGAGCTGATACGTAGCAGATCCAGATAAAGCTTCTATTACATTTGGTACATTAAAGCCAGGTTTCATTGTATCTGAACTGGTAGTATCATATACGTTTTCATAAGGCAACCTTGATGTTGATGGTTCTGTTACCAAGCGAAAGTATTCATTGGTAATTGTGCAGGCTACAACTCCACCGTCACCAGTATCAGGATCGCTAACATGAATACTGGCGACTGGTTGACCAGGTAGTTGATTTTCCCATATTCCAAAAACAGATGTCACATGATTATTTTCAATCAAGTTAGGAAAAAAGCCGCCACTGGATAATATTGGAGCTAGAGGAGTTGCAATAATAGTAGGATGCACATCGTTTACATCCAAAACTCTAATTACAAGCATCGCTCTAGCTGAAAGCTGACGACCATTTCGTGGATTATCGTGTACCATTACTGGGATATCAATTTCAGGACCATTTATTTGCATAGAAATTGTTTCATAATCTAGTTGAGTTCTCAATCTTACTTCACCAGTATTTGGTTGAACTGATAAATAATCTGCTCCAACCAATCCACCAGGTGCACTTGTATCAATTAAATACTGAAGACGTGCATTTTCACCTATATCAGCATCACGTGCTTGAAGCCAGAAAATCAGAGCACCTATTTGAGTGTTTTCTGGTACAGATACAAGAAATCTTGGATAGTCATTTTCTATTTCTAAATTAATTTCTTGTTCATAGTTTGAAGTTTGTGCATCATTTAATGGTTTTTGTTTCAACCATCTAGGTGAATTATCATTCACATCAGCTACATGTACACGAAAACCAATTTGACTTGAACGTGAATTTTGTTTGTTTCCATCTAAAGCAATCAACGTAACGTCATAAGCTGGAACAATTTCACGATCTAATTGATTTTTTAAACTGAATGTTGCACCTTCTCTAGTCAGTATCACTTCAAATGGTTTACTTAATAAGTCAGGTATTAAAAAATTTGTTTGTTGTAATTTCGTCGACTGATCAGATGATAAATTTGGTAATGGAATAACAGTTAAATTAATTGATTCCAAAGAATTTGAACCAATATCAGGATCAGATATTCTAAAATAGTGTAGAACACTTCCAACTGGTGTATCTTCCATAACATTTAAATCAATCGAATGTGATGGAAACTGTGGTGTATGATCATTGATGTCTTCTAAATGTATGTAGAGGTAAATTAAAGCTGCTCGACTGGATTTATCTTGTTGATGCGAATTGACAAAAATGTCATTATTTTGATTCGTTTCACTGTCAGGTTGTAAACTGATGTGTACAACTAAATAACATTGTTGACTTGGATTATTTTCTGATGATCTAAGTTTCCAGTCAGATTCACTTGAAATTGGAGGTGGTATACTACCAGATCTTGTATTACAACAAAATTGAGCTTTTAAACTTGAACATAATGCTTCTCGGTCTAGTCGAGTAGCGACAGTCACTTTACCAGTTTTTGATCCTACACGAAATAAATAACTATCAAATGCATTCAACAGTCTATATCGATATGAACCAGTGTTATAAATTACAAGAGCATTCTGATCAGTTAAAAAACTACTTATTTTAGGATGTTTATTCAAGTCTAGAACAAGGCTGCCAGGTGTTAATTCTTCTGGTATACTTACATATAATCGTGTTATTGGTAGACCGCTGAAGTTAATCATGGACGATGTTGATCTGCCCAAACGATTCGATGTTGTATTCCCAGTAGTTTGCATTTCAACATTGTCCCAAATAATTACAAGGATAAGATGTATGCAGAAACTGTTGTGTAATAGAAATTTGAGCATATTTTTTTTCTAACAAATTGGAAGAACGATTAAATAAACATTCTACATCGATACATATAACTCAAGTTTCATTTATTTTTGAAGTCATTGTTGATTGTTTATACGTCTATAAGAAAATAATAATAATAATAATAACAATAAAACTATTTGAGATGTCTTAGAAAAATAAGATATAATCAATAAAGATTTAAATCAGCACATTTCACTTAATGTTTTTCGTAATGTTATTTCTATAAAAGAGAAGACATTACAGATTTTTAGTTCTAGTTTAGTCTAATGGAATAAGCTATTAAGTTCTTCTCGCTAATATTCACAAGACTGATAGATGTAGTTTACAAAATAAATGGTGAAAAAGTTCTGAATGATATTAAAGCAACTGTTGTTTACACTTACTATTAACATCCGCTCATACATTGATAAACTATTTTTCACACTTCTACTTTGTGCAGTCATCAAACATGACATTCAATAAAACTAGTGATTTTAAGAGTGATATAATGAGTCATTATTATTTGAAGATGGGTAATAAAAGTCAACACTTTGTGCAGTATTATCCTTTTAATAATAATGATCTATAGTAATCAAATTGTCACTGGTTTAAATTCAGCTTAAATCATGGTTACAGTCAGGGTTAATTTCTTTAAATTTGATATAAATATATTTGAACGACAAAGTATGCACCTAGCTACATTAAGCACTTGAACGGATCACTATTTTTTCTTAATATTTATAATTACGTCGTTAAAATTTATTTTTATAGGTGGAGAAAAAAGGCTACAAACATTTTGATGTTACCCAAAATTTCAAAAAGTTCCATACCTTTTTTTGAAGAGCATGCTAATGACACTAGGAGTTCTACAATCAAATCATCATGCTCTGAAAATGCAAAATTTTAGAAATATTTCTATGAAGCTATACATCTTCATTATGTCAGCTATGAACGACAGAACCATAAGGGACTACATATTGAATTAACCAATATATTGTTTCAAGACTTATGTCAATTCAGTTAGTAGGTAAAGGTATTTTTAGTAAATATTCCAAGTAGTTTGGTAATATGTTTACTTGCTGTACGTAATATTATTAGATGAAAATGATTGATTTTTAACTTGACCAATGAATGAATCTGTTTGACTAGTTTATTTTTAATGTGATGGGATATTGTGTGATAAAACATGTTAAGTAGTCAGAAACAAGTTTTGTGTTACATGATTATTTTTCTAAAACAAATTTATCATATTTTTTTTAAAACAATGAAAGTAGTAACGATAACACTTCCAGAACTGTCTAGTTAAATCTCACTGATATATTGATTGTTTTAGTTGTATAAGTAAAGATTGAGCAACATAATCTAAGATACAACACATTTTTCCACCCGTATTCAAAGTTTCTTTCATAAAACCTGGAACTCACTGATCTTCCCCAGTGTCTATTTCATTTTATCTATATTGTATTAGATACTTTTCGGTTATCGACACATGGTTAATTCATTTCATATTTCTCATTTGAAAGATTGAGGAATTCTAAACATGTTAAGGATTTTTCTTAAATTCCTTGATACTATTGAAAATTGATTATGGATGATTTCACTTAGAGTTACTTTTTATTTTCAGATTGTATATGCATAACGGAATTAGAAGGGAAAGGAACGTTTCTACAGATTTTTATGTATGATGCGGCTGAATACAGTAACAGTGACACATTCAACTGCTACAGTGAAAAATACGAATATCAATCTCAGAATCTCAAGCTTATTTACACATCTAATTAATGTGTATCAACAAGCCATAATTCTGTTGTTTAACTTAAACTTCCAACCTAATTCTGACTGACCACTTAGTAATAACTAATTTCATATTGTTTAATTCTTCTGGCTAATTGAATGCTATTTGGTAGGTTGAAGTTTGTCCGCTAGTTATAATTACTTTGGATCCTGATAAATTGTTTCATTTTAGGTGATCTACTAATATAGTTAAGAGGGACTGAACTTTGGTTTTATACTAGTTTTCGCCGATTGGTGTGTATTAGTTGTAACTTCAAAACTCGAATTCCTCATTAATAGCGACTGTAATACTGAGTAGAATGGATTCCATTCAATTGGAAAATAACACTTTATTGTATTGTGCCAACCAGCATGAAAGCTAAATCTAGGGCTTTCTTATGACTAGTTTTGACCATCTAACCTAAAACGTTTTCACTATGTTAACAATTTTCACTCATATCCTTTAAACTGAAAGCATCTGGACTAAGTTCTCTCATCATTAGGTGTTATACTTTTCCTTTCTTCTTCTTGTTGTTATTATTATTCACATGACTAAACACTTCAAACTTCTACATACTGTTGATTAATTATTAGTAATTTAATAAAAGAAAATACATAGATGTAATTCCTTATCCATTTTTACACAATTGAGATCATGAGAAAATTGGTATCTTGTCCTAAAATTGAAACCTGATTTAATTCAATAATTGAAATGAATGAATCATAAGTAAACTGATATAAAACTTATACTGTACATGAATCATTTACTATTTAATAACCAATGAATACATAATACAATACAAAAATTAAAATAATACGATATCATTTGAATTAATTAAAACTGAACTGTTTAATAACACAGTTGATAAATTATTCAAGTTATTAATTCACATAATTCTATCTCTTTTATAATGATTGGTTAATGTAAATATTGCCTAAAACAAATAATCCATTATTTGTAAATCAGGTCATTAAAGTATATTTAAGTAGAATTACAATTCTAGATGAGTAGTTGTGTGATTACATTTCATTTAAGAGTACTTGAAAAACAGAAGGGATGAACTAAAATGAAAAGTAAAGTAGTGAGAGAAGGATTAATCATAACCATTTAATTCATATTTGTGAACAATGTGATAAATACTTTCTATTTTTAGAAAAAAGAAAAAAATGTCCATCAAATTGAAGATGTATATTTCAAAGTAAATATCAACTAGTGTACTTTTAAGTCATAATAAATTTATTCTATTATGATTTATTGATTACTGCAAGGATTATTTAACATGAGTTGATATAAGCTAGACCATCATTAAAAACCTAAGAGTACTGGATGACCGTTTCGTCTTAGGATGGAACTTCTCAGCAGTGCGCATCCACGATCCCTCATTCGGGACTGGAACCCAGGATTTTCTGTCTCTTACGGGAACGCTGAACCCCTAGACCACTTATCCGGCATTCAATTATGGTAATGTCTCACTTCAGTCGATCCATGATGAAAATTTCTACTAGAAATGAATTTAACTTAGCTCGTCGTAAATGAATATGATCATCAATAAGCATTAATTTATATGACAAGTACTATGGTGTGAGCTATTGATGTGAAAAGATATAAGTAGTATGTCGCAGCAATTGAAAGTGAAATGCTTATTAACAGAAGGTTGAAATGAAGAGAAAAGGGAGGAAAGCTGTGAGAAATTGGAATAACTACAGAATTGAAAGAATGACGGGGTACGTAGAGGATAACTCAAGAAAAATATGCAAATGATGTATTTAGTGTATGATTTTCAAATTTTACAAATCCACTGTGTAATTTTGCATATAAGTGATTTGGTTTGCGTACCTAAGTTTTAATTCACTACAATTCTACTGATTTCTATTTAGTTTGACAAATGCATAAGTTGCTTTAGTGGCAAGATTATATTTATTAATTCATTATTTACTGGTCAGTATTCCATTAAAATAAACATTCATGAGGTTCGAGCCCAATCAATGTGAATGTCTTATAGTTATTCAGATAGTTCATTGGAATAAATTTTGTTAATTTACTTTGCAACATTCCTTTAGGTCAAGCATCGTTGTTATGTATTGAGACTAGAGTGGTCCCCAACTTATACTCCGTTTATTTGATTACTACCATCTAACAAAGACAAAACATGCTGTTATGAGTGAGGCACATTAAATTTCCTATCTACAAGTAATTCGGAAACGGTTCACCTGTTGCAATCATTTATTCAATTCGATGTCGAGTAGTTGAAGACAATCATTTGGAACCTTAAACAAACATTTGTAGAGACTTTATTGTGAGATATGTTTGAAATGTTGAGGCAGTGTATTTCTCCTGTGCATTCTGAACACTCACATAGTATCAAAGACAGAGACGTTCCCGTTTAGTTATATAATCTCCAACTGATTTATTTTAGAACTAATATGTGGATACTAATTAATCCCATAGTAGTAACCAATGTCGTGCTGTATATTCCCTACCTCGGATAAAAGTTGCTCGAATAGTATAATAGTTCATCAACCACAATATGAATACCCTAGGAGTAGTGAACTTAAAAGTGGCTATAGATGATACAAGTTTAGTTTGTTTGTATAATATACTATTCTTACTGACTTCTTATCGATTGCTTTTTAACTCACTCACACCAAGTAATATACATTGAAATTTCAGTTAACTTTGAATAAGAGCTATATTGCGAATTGATTCACAGTAAAGATTAGATAATAATGGCTACTAATAAATTATCAGAAAGTTTATTATGCAAGTGAAAATAAAATCTGTGATTAGTGGTTTTGTGTCTATTATTATTTAGTTATATAATACCTTATTATCAAACTAGAGAAGAATATCATTTTTCTGCGTTCAATAATAATATCGACATTATTACTCTTATTAATATTATTATTATTATCATTACTAGCGGATTAAAAGAATTAGTTGCATTTTGTGTACAATCAAGAGCTTAAAAAATGTGATTAATCTGACAGAATATTTTGAAAAAATAGTGAAGTTATTCGTGCAAGTAAGTAGTTAATCCTATTATTAGATTTAACCCAATGATCGATAATCTTTGTTTCAGGGGGGGGGGGTTTAAACATGCTTATTTCACACATTTCGAGATTATCTTGCATTTTTTATTGTTTTCGTATTCTTCTGTCCTTTTTATAACTAAGGTATACAGCGAACGGTTGACAGTTATATATATATATATATATATATATATATATATATATATAT